CCTTGGACAGAAGGAAAGTGTCCATCGGGGTCCGGGACTGACACAGCAGGGTCACCTTCTCTCCTGAGGACACCGCGGGTCCCGGCTGCACCGAGAGGGAGGGTGTGCCCGGGAGCTGTCCTGCAGAGAAGGAGGGTGGTGAGGGCGGCCCCAGCTTGCTCTGAGCTGAGGCCTCAGCAGGGCTGTCTCTGAGGACCCTCGGTCTCTGCCTGTCTCTCTTTCCTCTGACTCTGCCCCTCCTGCCCTCCCCCATCTCTCTGCCTCTCTCCCTGACACCCACCCCCACCCTGGCCATCACCTCCTGGGCTCCCCCAGCAGGGCCTGGGCAGGGTCTGGGTCCCTGACTGAGCCCTGGGCTCCTCACCTGTGATCAGGATGTCCAGGGGGTCACTGGGGGCCGACCACTCGGAGGAGAGGCTGTGTGCACCGTAGCATCTGTAGCGGCCCCCGTGGGAGGGGCTCCCAGGGCCCAGGGGGAAGTCGGCCTGAGAGAGGCCTGCCTGGGGCTGCCGGCCAGGGTGCTTAGGGAGTTCACCTGTCCCCTCCTTGGACAGAGCGAATCTGTGATAGCCTTGGTCAGAGCGACACTGGAGGGTCAGGTTGTGTCCAGGGTCCAGGACAGGGCCGTGCTGGGTCAGGAGGGAGGGCTTCCTGGACCGCCCTGGAGGGAGGAGGATCCGGGCTGAGGGGCTGGTTCCTGCCGTGCCCTGGCCCTCCTGTCCTGCCCGGTGGGTCTCACTGTCCCTCACTGAGGGTCTCTGGATTAGGAGATGCTCTGAACCAGCTCGGAGTTCATTGAGTTCGGACTCTGTCCATGGGTTTGATAACTCAAAATCTTTTGTATTAGACTAGATTTTCTCACCTGAGATTAGGAGCTCCAGGGAGTCACTGGAGTTGGACCACACCTGGGGTTTGTTCCTGTCATAGCCGTAGCATCTGAATGTCCAGCTGTGGTCGGGAATTACAGGGCCCACAGGAAACAGGGCCTGGAAATTCCCACTGTGGTGTTGTTGTGAGTCCAGCATCCAGGAGAGCTTGTCTCCTCCTTCCTCAGTCAGAACGAACCTGTCAAATCCCCTCTGTGAGCCACACTGCAGGGTGACGTTCCCTCCTGAGGTCACCACTGGGCCGGGCAGGGCTGAGAGGCTGGGTTTGCTGTAGACTCCTAGGAGAGAAGGAGGCAGCATGTGAAATGGACTCACACCTCCCACACTGTCCCTGGGCTGGGCTTTGAGAGGGGGCACCCCTGAGAGCAGACCCCTTCCTGAGGGCAGAGCCTGGCGCTGGGCCCTTAGTGTCCTCTCACCTGTCACCACCAGCTCCAGGGGCTCACTGGGCTCTGACCAGCCAGCAGAGCTGCGATAGTAACAGCGATATCTTCCTGCATCGTCTTCTGTCATGGATGGGATGGAGAACCTGGCCTTGTTCCGGGGCTTTGGCGAGGTCTGTCTGTCCCAGAGCGACGGCCTTCCCTCTTTATCCAGATGGTACTCCTCGGCCTGCAGGGTTCCCTCACACCAGAGGACCGCAGGCTTCCTCCAGGGGATCACACAGCATGGCTCAGCCCAGAAGGTGGGCTTGGGGAGCATCCCTGCGGGGAATCAGGGGAGAGGGTGTCCGGTCTGTGCTGCACAGTGCCCAGGGAGGGGCTGAGCAGATGCCATTTATTCTGAGCCAGAAAGAGCAGAGGAAACGTGAGGAGCCACTTACAGGTTCTGCCCTCCCCCCACCCCCGTCACTGAGCTCAGGATCCCGGCTCCTCTCATCTCCTTGGCCTTGTCTTGGAGCTGAATCAGGTTCACAGTCATTGAAAGGAAAGGTTGTGCCCCCCTCACCTGAGACCAGGAGCTCCAGGGTGTCGCTGGGCTCCGACCACACCAGGGGTGTGTTACTGTAACAGCCGTAGCATCTGAACATCCACCTCTGCCTGGGGGTCACGGGGCCCACAAGGAACAGGGCCTGGACCTGCCCACTGGAGTCTTGCCGTGAGTCCAGCATCCAGGAGAGCTTGTCTCCTCCTTCCTTAGTCAGAACGAACCTGTCAAATCCCTTCTGTGAGCGACACTGGAGGGTGACGTTCCCTCCTGAGGTCACAACAGGGCTGGGCAGGGCTGCGAGGCTGGGTTTGCTGTAGACTCCTAGGAGAGAAGGAGGCAGCGTGTGAAATGGACTCACACCTCCCACGCTGTCCCCAGGGCTGGGCTGTGAGAGGGGATGCCCCTGAGAGCAGACCCCTTGCTGAGGGCAGAGCCTGGGGCTGGGACCCTGAGTGTCCTCTCACCTGTCACCACCAGCACCAGGGGATCACTGGGCTGTGACCAGACACCAGAGCTTTGATAGTAACAGTAGTATCTTCCTGCATCATCTTCTCTCATGGATGGGATGGAGAACTTGGCACTATTCACCAGATTTTGTGAGCTCTGGGTCCTCCAGTACTCTCAGCTTCCCTCTTTCACCAGATAGCACTCTTCAGCCCTCAGAGTCCACAAACACCAGAGTGTCACGGGTTCCCCTTGTGGTATCACAGATCTTGGCTGAGCCTGGAGCTCAGGTTTGGGCAGGGTCCCTGCAGGGAAATCACAGCTGGGTCCCAGGACCTTCCTCCTCCCCTTAGATCCCAGCTCTCAGCTCCAGGACCCTGCAGTATCAGCCCACACCTGCTGTGCTCCATCCCCACTGCCCAGGGGCGACCCCTGTCCGCAGGAGGAGCAGGGACCTGGGACAGCTGTGGAGACACTCACCTGCCTGCACTCGTGTCCTGGGGCCCAGACTCAGCCCTGGAAGAGAGTTCCCTGTGAGAGATTCACCCTGGAGCGCAAGTAGCTCCTCTGCTCCCTGAGCCTCCTGCGCCTAAGTCTACTGACAGGCCAGGGCCTGGTTGTAAGGTGGGGTCTCTCCCAGACCAGGGTGTCTTCTCCCCTTTTCCCATCTCACCCACGCAGAGCAGGGCCATGAAGGAGGGCCTCATGGCTTCTCCAATCGCTGATCACGGGATCTGTAGAGAGATGTGACTACACTGCTCTGCGGGCCCCACGGACGAATGCGGTGTGGGAACTTCGGGACGGGGGGCCCATGATGAGTCTGTCACAGCACCGCCCCGCATGAACAGGCACTGCCCTCCCCATCGGCAGTCTGTGTTGTTGCCAGCTCTGGGTCTGGGGCAGGCAGGGGTCTGATGTGGGACTTTCCCTCCCTTTTGAATCTTGCTACTTTGCGTTCATCTCACTGAGGGCGAGGACACAGCAGCCAACAGAGCTGGAGGCTGCCCGAGCTGGCCCCGCCAGGGGACGGTGCCCAGGGCGAGTCCTTCCTCTCAGAACCCCCCACAGGTCCCCTCCCTCCCTCAGCCCGTCCATCTGCACAGCACCATCGTCCTCACCATGACCGTCATCTCCCAGCCCTGGAGATGCTCCGGGGAAGACACAGGCTCCTGCAGCAGGTGGACGAGAGCAGAGACGCTCCGAGCCCTGACTGTGCAGCTCACCTAGAGCTCGGTTATGGGGCTGAGCACAGAGGGAAAGCGGGGAAACAGATGGGAAACGAGGCTCATTTCCTGACTCTCATGCAGCTTTCCTTTACTGAACGATTCCCTTCTTGTACTTCCCTTTTTTCGTTCTCACGACTGAATTCACCCCAGTTCTCTGTGAAGAAAGTTTTGCGCCATTGTTGCCTCTTGGGTGCCCTCGTTTCTGAGTTTTGTGGGAGTTAATTCTGACTTAGTGCCTGGTCATCATTTTCTGTCTAGGCTGCCTTGAGCTTAGCATCTCTCTCTGAACCTCACCTTCTTCATCTCCGCCTTGCTGTCCTCACCTCACTCCGAGAGTGTTCAAGGAGTTAGTGGTGCTGAAGATAAGCAGAGGCTCAGCTATGGTTAATTTTCAAACATGGGTTTGGGATATGAGAAGCCTGTGGTGTTGGACCATGTACGTGCCCAGTAACAGCTCCCCGTCTGCTTTGAGCTTTTAGAAATAGCATAAGTAATATGTGTGAAGCTTCTGTATATCATGGTCATGACAATAAACACAGAAATGAAGGTTCTGAAATGGAGAAGAGTCACTAAGGAGAGTATTTCACACTTTCTGTGGCGGGAGAGTGGGGTCAGGGCTCCAGGTGAGGACTGGAGGCTGTGCTCCTTCTCTCCCATTTTACAGATGGGCACTAGGCTCTCAGCTGACTGCCCAGGGTCCACGGTCAGCACAGAACCACCTCCTTGTGTGCATAAAAGAGATTCGCTCCAGTACTGCCACACTCACAGATAAATGTGAGTGTGAAGCAGAGGTTGACTTTGGGCCCATCCCAGCCAGGTCCACCTGTCAGTAGCTGCTAAGTTTGGAAGCAAGGATGCCACTGGTCAGGAGCAACAGCAACAACCTCTTTGTTGGGGACGATTCCTAGGTCAGCCCTAGAGCTCAAACTTACCACTGAGCTCAATGTCATCCTCTTCAGATCCATCCCCTCTGAAGATTATCTGCAAAGCCTGGCCTTCCACCAGAGCACATAGGACCTGTAATCTCCCTGCCTGAGGCTGAGCCTCCCAGTGGGTCCCAGGAGCTCCCTATTTAGCTCTTTCTCTTCCTAAGCCTGTTTGCCAAAGGCTGTCTCCCACCCAGTCACAGGATAACACTTTAGTCCTGAAGCAAAACTCTCTTCTTGGGTGTTGGTCTCAGCCTCAGTCGGGTCCGTCTTTTGGCTGTCACCTCTGTTACCCTGTGCTGTGGGTATCTCCTCTCTCCTCCCACACAAGACTCACAAAACTCTGGCATCTGTGGCAGGGACAAGGCGGGGTCTCTCTCCTCACTTGTAGGGTCTGTGAGACTGGCATCTGTGGCAGGTGTGGGGAGGGATCTCCCACCTCCCTCTCAGGGCTCATGAGGCCGTGGTATCTGTGGGGTGGACAGGGTGGAGGGCTCTCCTTTCTTTTTTCAGTTTCTTGACTCTGCTGTCTGGTTTTGTGTCTCATGAGTATAGATTCCTCATTCACAGACACTGTTCAATATCTGTCCTTCTTTGAATGTTCAGGGCCCTGAACCACACCCACTGTCACACAGGGCCGAACTTGTTCCATTTTTGAGGGTTAGTAATGTTCCATTTTCCAAATCCACTCATCTATCACTGGACACTTAGGTTGTTTCATATCTTGGTGCTGTGAGTAATGCTGCCGTTAACATGTGAGTAAGGTATCTCTCCAAACTCTGACTTTGATGCTTTTGATATGCACCCAAAGTTGAGATGGATCATAAGGCAATGTGCTTCAAAAACGGAAGCGATAAAAACTTTCTTGAAACAATTCTGAGGAAGTTCCTCAGCACTAGAACTGCTGTGATGCTCAGTTTTCATTTTCAACTTCACTGCATTGAGAAATGTCTAGGAAAACAAGAAGAATGCATTTCTGGGTGTGTGTCTGTGAGGGGGTTTCCACAGATCATTGGCATCTGTGGCAACAAACTGAGGGGAGACTGTCCTGCGTGTGTGGGATACACAATCCCATAAACTGGGCTTCTAACACATAGCAAGGCACAGATCCTGTACACTGTGGTGGGAGGTCAGGTTTGGTGGGTATAATCTTGGGGGGATGGACCTCAAGGAGAAGGCATTTAGTTCATTGGTATATTTGAGCTTTTTCCCTGCTGCCTACATCTAGCAGAAATTAATGGTCTGAATTATATAGGTCTATATTTGGGTGAACTAAGTGTCTTCACTAAAATCATAGACCTCTGTGTTCAGGTTTTAAGGGCAGTTCATGAGTGGTTCTCAGAGCTTGCCAGTATCCAATTCATACTTCACGCTATTGTTATCACTGAATTTACTACTATATCCAAGGTGACATAGTTACTGCTGTGAGTTGGTTTTCCTTGTATGACAATACCTGGATTGCCTGGGGGCCATAAGCAATACTGCAGCAATCTCCCGAAGAACCATGGACTGGGCCAATGAATCCTAACAAATCCTAACACACACACCAAATAAATAAATAAATAAATAGGAAAGAAGAAAGAAAGAGAGAAAGAAAGATGAAAAGAGAAGGCAATGAAATGCCTCCAAAAACTCACAATTCCCTCAAACCAGATCAAGGGTTATCTAGGCAGAAGAAATCATAAACTACAAAGCCAAAAATTCTGAAATGTATCAATAGAGATAAAACAGTTCAATAAGATGCTTGGATAATTTAAATCAAATAGTGACCATAATGGAACAAATAATCAGTAAGTGTGGAGAAGACATTAATAAAAATAAATAAAAATCTGGTAGAGCTAAAAAACAGATGCAAAATTTGAATGCCCTGCATAGAAAAAAATGGGACTCCATTAAAAATTCCAAAGAGAAATCCAGGAGATTAAAAACTCTATTAAAATTACACACAGCATAAAATGATCAGTGTGAATGCATAGTGTCAGATCTATAGGCCAGGGCTGTGTCAATGGTCAATTAATAAGAGATACCTTAGAAACAACAAGAGAACATAAAAAATGGATCCAACAGTTGCTAGATGACTCAAAGAAGACTAAGAGGAACTGAAATTGAGTGAACAGTATCAATTTACCAATCAAAAGAAAGAGATTAGCAGAATGAAGCAAGATGACCCAACAGTATACTGTACACAGGAAACACATTTAACCCAAGAAAAAATTCATAGACTAAAAGTCAAAAGATAGAAAACAATATTCCATGCAATGGAAACCTGAAGACAAGTAGGAGTAGCTATCCTATTTTCAGACAAACTGGACAATAAGCCAAAATTCATCAAAAGGAGTAAGAATGTCACTACTTATTGGTTAAGGGAACCACTCACTGGAAGAGATAACAATGATAAGCGTATATGCACCACATAATAATACATCCAATTAAAAAACAATACTGGACATAAAATGTCAGATAAACATCAACACAAACAGATCAACTAAACAAAATAGTCAATAAATAAATATCAATGTTGAACTAATCCTTTGAACAAATGACTGTAATAGATACATATGCAGCATTTCACCCAACAACAACAGAATACATATTCTGTTCAGCAGCACATGGAACTTTCTCAAAAATAGGCCACATACTGGCCAATAGAGTGTGCTTAAGTAAGTGGAAAATAATAAAAATTTTAACATGCATATTAATAGATCATATTATAATGAAACTAGAAAGAGATGGTAAAAAAAACCCATAGAAATTATGCAAGTATTTGGAAATTAAACAATACACTCAAATAATCAATGTGTCACAGAAGAAATTAAAGAAGAAGTAAGACAGTTCCTACAACTAAATGATAAAGCCAGTACAATATACCAGAATTTATGGGGCAGAATGAAATCAGTTTTACAGTGGAATTTTATAGCTGTAAATTCCCATATCAGAAAAACAGAAGCAGCCCAAATAAATAAACTAATGATGCATCTCAAGGCCCTAGAAGAACAAGAAAACCTTAATCTGGAACCTGTACAAAGACGGACATTATAAAGATCAGGGCAGGAATCAAAGAAAGGGAAACTAAAAAGCAATAAGAAGAATCAATGAATCAAAGAGCTTACTCCTTGAAAAAGTAAACAATAGATAAATCCTTGGCCAATCTTACAAAAAAAGGGAAAGAAGACACGTGAGTCAATGCAATTAGAAATGAAAATGGTGAAGCCACCATGAACAATGCCAAAATCCAGAAGATCATTAGCAACTACTTCAAAAACCTGTATGCCAATAAAGTGGAGAACCCAAGAGAAATGGATACATTTCTAAATGCATATGGATAACTAAGAGTGAACCAAAAAAGACTTACTAATTCTCAATAATCCAGTAACAGGCAATGAAATTGAAGCATTAATAGAAAAAAACTACAAACTAAGGAAAGTCCTAGACCTGATGGAATCAATGCCAAAGTCCACAAAAACTTCAGTGTAGGCTGAATGACAATACTCCTCAAATTCTTTCATGAAATTGAAGGGAAGGAATACTCCAAAAGTCATTCCTGAAAGTTAGCACTACTCTGAGCCCCAAACTAGAGAATGAACACACCAAAAACAAGTACAGGCCAATCTTACTAATGAGCATAGATGGAAAAATCCACACCAAGGTACTGGCAAATGGAATGCAACAAACCATAAAAAAGATCCTATACCAACATGAGCTAGTGATCCCAGGGATGCAAAGATGGTTCACCATATGCAAATCAACAAATGTAATACATCATATAAACAGCCACAAGGACTAAAATCATGTGATCTTTTAAAAAAGAGACCACACATTCTGGGCTCTTAGAAAAAGCCTTTGACAACATCCAACATGGATATAAATGATTTTAAAAATCCGGAAGAAAATAGGTTTAAAAGGACCTTATCTCAATCTGATAAAAGCCATTAACTATTTACAAAAGCTACTGCCAACATTATAAGAAATGGAAAAAGTTAAAAGCTTTCCTTCTAAAATTAAGAACAAGACAAGAATGACCACTATTACAATTTCTCTTCAATATGGTCCTCAAAATATAAAGCAGAGCAATGAGTTAAAAGAAAGATTTAAAAGGGA